ATAGCCAGATCTTAAGGGCCGTGCGGAAGGCCTGGGCGGTGGTGAGGGTGCGGATCTCCACGGGGAGATTGTTCCATATGTCATCGCGGTAGGGTCGCGTTTTTCCTTAGCGCTTAGAACGGCGCGAATTAGTCTTTGCGCTTATGTCTCCGCGGATAAGGGCTTCGCGGATTTGTGGTGGAACCATGCTGGTCAACAGCCCTAGAGAGCTGCAGGCACTAGCCTGGCGTCGAACAACTTAATTTTACTTACATTGTTTTGTTTAGGTCTTAATCATGACATTTCTGTCTTTGTAGGCATAAAGCGATCCCGGGGGTCTTCAGGAGGCGCTTCTGATTCGCCAGGAGGTTTTTCTAAACACATTAGATCAGATATGGATTTCTCACCCGTAAAAGTTGCACACAGGTGAAAACACTCTTCTGTATGTGTAGTGTCTAGTAATCTAATCTTCACTAAGAAGCAGCACTGTTTGTGAAAATGTTTGGTGGTGGGAGTTGTTCTCATTGAATCCCTAAGACACATATAGGCAACAGAACCATGGCTGATGAGATGGAATTTGGGACATTCTTCTAGGCAGGATAAGAGCTCAGAAGCAGCAATAGCAATAGCACTTAGATTTATATACCACTTCGCAGTGCTTTACGGCCCTCTCTGAGTGGTTTACGGAATCAACATATTGCCCCCTACAATCTGGCTCCTCATTTTACCGACTACAGAAGGTTGGAAGCCTGAGTCAACCTTGAACTGGTGGAAATCAAACTGCTGGCAGTGGGCAATCAGCAGAATTCACCTGCAATACTGATTTCTAACCACTGCGCCACCACAGCTCTATAGAGCACAGAGTGGAAAATTCGATTTTTAGAATCTTCTAGTTGGGCTTGAAAATTGCTGGCCTAAAATTCTGCAGAGATGCCATTTATCAAACTTGATGGTCCTAGATTAGGTACAACTGTGATGTGTATCAACGGAAGCCCACCGGCTTTCCCACTTTCTGATGGACTTGCATCATCACAATGTTCTACCTATCTTCTCTGTCAAACTAAACATCCAAAAATAATTTGATCGGTGGACAATTGGTTGGTCTGAATTAATCTTTTGTTTGGGATGTCCATCCATGATGGCTGGATATTTTGACTGGTAGTGATCTCACTTGAGTAACCTGGAATATGCTCAGATCTGGAATTTGGTTGGGAAAAAGAGGAACCTACCGTATTTTTCGATGTACAAGACACTCCGAAGTATAAGACACACCTAACCTTTGGAGAGGAAAACAAGGTGGTAGTGGTGGTGGAAATCTGTCTCTGCCTCCCAGCAGTTTGCCTCCTTGCAGCAAACAGCAAACAATACAGATGATATACACTGTTTGTGGTGTTACATTTCAGACTATACTTGTACAGATGATGTTAAAATTGATGTGGCTTTCTAGAAGTATATGTTATTCTCTGCTATTTAAAAGAAGATACGATAGCACTGGACCACTTCAGATCAAGCATTTATTTCATTTTGTTAAGTTGTCTAGAACAATAATAAAGCAGTCTTTAATAGCAATAGCAATATCAATAGCAGTTAGACATATACCGCTTCATAGGGCTTTCAGCCCTCTCTAAGCGGTTTACAGAGTCAGCATATTGCCCCCAACAACAATCCGGGTCTGTTATTTAAAGACAATTAAGGGTAAGCTAAGTTAAGATATGGAAAAATGGAAGGGGAATATGAAATA